ACCTGCTGCTGACCAGTTAACCTGCTGACCAGTTGACCTGCTGCTGACCAGTTGACCTGCTGCTGACCAGTTAACTCGACTATCTGCACTGATTTACCCTCTGAACACTCAACAGCAGGTTTAAAAACAGACAGAATTGACGTCTAACTCTCCGACGGTCATTGAACTGCCCATGTGTGACGTTCACGTGGGAGTTCTGATGGGTCCGTTTGGATCAGCCAGCTGTTTGTTCTGACCGGTTTGTTCTCTGTCCTGGTCTGTGGCAGGATAAACGCGTACATCGAAGAGGAAGTCCAGCGGCGGTTACGAAAGATGAATCTTCTGAACGGCGGCGGCAGCAACATGGATCTGTCTCTGTCCTGTGAATCGCTCAGAGTAAGAACTCTCCCACACACCTCAGCACTCTGTCTGACCCGCGGAGGGCTACTGAGGTGCAGCCGTTGGGTTTCACCTCAGGACCTCCAGCCTCTCCGTCCGCCTGCTCATGTTTTGGCTCTAGAGCTGACTGTAGACGTCCAGCAGTAATAAGATGTGAGCCTTTTCTGTGTACAACTGATATTTAGCTCTTTAACCCTGCAGGAGGAGGAGGAATTTAGCGACTGTAGCTCTGTTAGATTGACAGACGAGGTAAGACCAGGATCCAGCCGCCCTTGACTTACGTTTCCTCTCAATGAGACTCTCCCTGCTCTGCAATCTGCATGACTCCCCCGAATATGGTTTCATTACCTTTAATTCGATCCTTCTCTTCCTGGTTTTGATTTCTCCTGGTTTTGTTCCATCTGTCCCCCTTTTCCTGTCAACACCAAGAACAATTTGTTATTGAAGAAATAACCCTCTGAACCCCAAAACTCACCGGCAGGTTTTAGAGGTGCGTTGTGTTTTTCTATAAATTGCTGAAATGATGCTATTTAACCTCCGGAAACTGTGGGAAAAAACACACAGTCCTTGAACGCGTCATGTGTGACAAGGGTTGTGAGTTTTCTACTATACTTCATTAAATCTGAGCTCTCCTCAGAACCGCTTCATGTTACGTATCTCGTTTCAAAATGTGCAAAAACTGAACCAAATCTGAATCTGCAAACAAAAGAAACGTGTCCTCAGTACAGCCATGAGGCCATCAGCCAGTCTTCACAACATAACACGCTGGACATGTTGATTCAATACTTTAGCAAAGTCACCAAACGTCTCTCTGGTCTCCACGGTTCTGAGTCCTGCTGACAGAAGACGTCTCTGAGTTCTGTCTCCTCCTTCATGTTGTTCTGGTTCCACAGAGCTGCAGGACTTTCTGCTGAAACATGAAGGTGGAGCTGAAAACACTCATAATCTGCTCTGAGGGTTCAGAGGGTTACTCCGAAAACTGTTGCCTGCTGTGTTGCAGAAAGTGTTGACATTTGAAGATCACCGGCTGTTGTTTCGTTCTCATTGTTTCAGGACGATGAAAAGCAGCAAAACGTGAATCCCAGGAGGCTCAAATATGAGGTAAGACCAGGGTCGGGCTGTGGTTCTGGGATTATTACTGTTTAACAGTTAATCACTACAGAAGTGTGATTGTGCAGCAGTTCTACGCTGGCAGTGGTTCTGTGTCTGCATCATGTGAACACGCATGCTCTTAATTACATCATTAAAATCTGAGCAGGATTCGACACGTGACGTTACTGTAAAGGTCCAATTCCAGTCACTCCAGTTTGGTTTGACTGGTTTCTGTTTGTGGTGTGAGACAAGTTAGGGAAGTCTGCAGCGTTCAGGTGTTGAGTTGGACTGGTTGGTTAATCTGCTCTCATCAGTGTCAAGTGCTTCTTTCACCAGGAGAAAAGTTCTACATCAGCCTCCAGGAATCATCCATTATCTTTAGACAGGCCGCCTGCGAACACCCCCGAGTTTTCACAACTTTTGAACCAGTCCAACCTGATGGAGACTCACCAGTCTAACCTACGTAACGTTGACTAAACATTTACTAGGAGTCCAAACTAACTGGCACCATGTCAGAGAAGGTCTAGGACTAGTTGTAGAGGTCTGAGGACTAGTTATCAAAGTCTGAAGACTAGTTGTTGTGGATAGTATCTAGGTATAGAAGCCTGGAACTAGCTCTAGAGGTCTGGGGACTAGTTGTAGAGATCCAAGGACTAGTTGTAGAGGTCTGAGAGGGTTTTATTTACAGGAAGAAGCTTTTTTAAAAAGAACTTCTGTAAAGGACATCGTTGTTGTCACCAGAAAGAATATAATCATTTAAACTGTTTTCAAATGATGCTACTTGTGTTTGATTGGAGTTTAAAGGTTTCTGAAAGCTAGTGTTTTGTTCACTTGTCAACCTAATTTGCATGTCAAACCTCTTCACACTTAATTTCGAATCACTTACGACTCACCTGAGCACCTGGTGACTGGAGGAGCTGTAATTCTCAGTGGGGTGGATGATGGCCTTCAGGTGTAATTCAAAGAGCCTTCACGTCCTTGGTGATGTAGTCATGGACTCCCCCTTGTGCACACAGAGAGCCTGCCGGTCTGGCCTCCTGCCTTCCCTCGAGTCTGAGGCAAACTCTGCTCCTAACGTCCAGGAGAACGTGTTGGAAGAACCAGAGAGCAGCTTCATGAAGCTGTACAGAGAAGATAAACTAGAACCCACAGCTGGAAACAAGGAAGTTCCTCACAGAGATAGTGACAGCGACAAACGCTGGCAAAGAGAAGTGAACGTTCCTCTGGGAGACGGTGGCCGAGGTGTTCTTCACGTCCAACCACACGAGTTTGGTGTCACTTCAGCAAACACCAAGAGCAGCAGATCTGATAAAAACGAGAACATCACTGATAACAGAAGGGATCCTACCTGCTGTGTTCCAGGAGATGATAAAACGGAGGAGCTGCTGGATACTGGACGCCCTTTTTCTTACTCGGAGGACGAAGTCAAACCCCAAACACGTGGCACAGAAGATGCAGAACTTTCTGGTGATCAATCATCAGAGTCGCAGAGTTCTGGCAATGACTGCATCAGTTCCAAGGAAGAGTCGAAAGAGTCAGTGAATGGTGAAATTAAACAAGAGACGGATGCAGGAACAGAGAACGCGACGGCCAGCAGGGGCTACGTTTTTGGATTCTTTGCCGACAAGCTGTCGGAAGCCTACAAAGACGCCGGTCGACGGCTGCAGGGCACACGGGACATCATCCGAAATGTTCAGTTAGCTGAAATGAAGGTTGTCCTCACTCAGTACGTGACCATGATGTCTAAGGAGCTGCCGCTGCCTCGCCTCATGCAGCTTCAGCAACAGCCAGAACCCTGCATCAGTGCAGAAAACCAGGTCCGTTCAGCGGACCTCTCGCAGGATCGCGCCCTCACTGTTCCTCAGAACTGCAGCATGTCTGTGACCCTGGACGTCTCAGGATGTCCTGAAGGATCTGTGTCCTCGGTCAGAAACACCAGTCCTCAAGTGTTTCATCAGCGGCTGGTCGCGCTGCCGCCGGCTCTGTCTCAGCTGCAGACGTTTTCCTCCCAGGAGATGAAGGAAAAGTTGGAATCTCTGTTTCCTCTGATACAAGGCAGCAAGCTTCTGGGTGTCTTCTGGGTCAGAACGGCCAACAGTAAGCGCCCCTTCCCAAAGCCTGGCTGTTTGCTGTTGTCTGAAAACGATGTAATAGTCGTTTCATCTGGCGCAGATTCTACAGACACACTGACTGCGTTTCATCATTTTAAACTCCTGGAAATCAAGGAGGTCCAGATCGGTTTGGCTGGACAACACGTTCGCCTAATCGGCTCCGCTGAAGACACCGTGTTAGCCGTCTTCACCCACAGCAAAGATCTAACCCAAGAGTTCTGCAAGGCTCTGCTCAAGGCTCTGTCTCCTGAAGCGTTCTTTCAAGGTCACCCGTTACTCTCTGAAGACCTCATGGTCCTCTCTCTGGATTGGACCTCCAGTGTTCCCGACATCGTCCTGGACAGCGGCCTTTGCGTCACCTCCAGATTCAAGCGTGTCCTCGCAGACCTGCTCTACATCGTCCACGGGAACATGGACGCTCCCGGCAGGCCTTCGCTGGCTCACGTCTGTCCTCTGCTCTACGCCAGCGTGAAGGTCGAGAGTGCCACCCGTGTGCTTCCGGGCGCCATCTTCCAGCTCCTCCTGACAGATACTCACGTGGTTCTTCTCCGGGAGGACGGCGTCTTCCATCCGGTGCCGAGGGGGTCCAGTCTGGTTCCGGCCCGGCCTCAGTTTCAGGGACTCGAGCTCCGCAAGCGCTCAGACATCAGATGCCTGCTGGTGAAGCAGAACGACGGCTGCCTGCTGGTGGAAATCGTCTTTTCAATCCACAAGCCTCAGAAGAGGAAGGTGCAGCTCAGACGGGGTTCAGCTGATCCGGCCGGCGCCGCCAACAGCACCGGCGACTCCTGGAAGTTACGCTTTGGCTGCACAGCAGAAGCTCAGATCTTAATCAAACATCTGTGTGTGTGAAGGCAGACGTTTGTTTTAGGGTGTTGAATAACTTCAGAGGTGTCGTCTGAGAAGGTGATTCTTCAAGGAACCGACCTGAAATGGACACACATGAAAGTATTTTAAAGTATTTTAAAACCTTTTTAAACCCGGTCTGTGGTGTGATCTGGGTAACTCGTTATCTAATCCGACCGTGTTCAGGAGTTCACTGTGAGTCTGATGAACTCTACAGATGAAGCGTCATTAGAGGAAGTCGCTGTCTGTCTGTCGTGTTGATGATTCTTGTTGTTCATGTGAAGAGGGAACGTTTTGTCTTATTGCATAAATGGATCCGAAATGTATCACGAGATGAAGTAATTATGAATAAAATGTGGTGAGTGTGTGCTTAGAGGAGTACTGTCTCGTGCAGTGATGGCGTGTTGCTGTTGGAGACTGAATAATAAAGACTGGAACGGATTTCTGTCGTCTCTTTGTTCACGTTTAAGCCCAGGTTTGGAGGCCCACAGTGATGGTGATGTGTTTCTGAGTGAACCTTTTGCTCTCCGCCTCTCTTTCCTCTGTTTTTCTGCCCTCTGTCCGCCGACCTCTGCAGCACCTGGTGTCTCGTAATCCTGCGGCGAGCAGCGACGGCGTCCAGGAGCCCGTCAGAGTTAGCATCCCTCGCTACGTCCTCCGCGGGCAGGGCAAGGACGAGCACTTTGAGTTCGAGGTGAAGGTGAGTTCGAGCATCTCCGTCGTCCTTCTGTGCACGGTTCCACACATCGTCTCTGGATGTTTCATCTGTGAATAAAGGTTTACGGGCATTTCATAGAAAGCTCTTCAGAACCAGATGATTCTTTATCTACAGTAACTTTAGTTTGTTCCACAGTTCCACAGAGGAGGGTCCAGATTGATCACCTTAATGGACTTTTTCCATCATTTCTGAGCCTCAGAACTTCATCAGTCCAGCAGATAGACACATGACATGTAGGAGGAAGAACACGTCTGAGCGTTTTGAATCATTCCAGACGAGCTTACAATCATTGTGGACATTTTTCACAACACTGGACAGATTTAGGACAGAATTTTTTAGTCATTCTGCACAATTTTGAGCCATTTTAAACAATTTTGAGTCATTTTAGACTAATTCTGACTCATTAGAGACCCACTTTGAGTAATTTTGGACATTTTAAAAATAACTTTGGACAGATTTTACACATTTATGGACTTTTTAACATCATCCTGGACCAGCTTCATGTCATTTTGGACATTTTTCACAGTTTTGGACACATTTTAGTTGTTTGTTGTTTTAGACATTTCTTGAGTCATTCTGGGCAGATTTAAATACATTTAGCATCTGATGGACATTTTTTGGACTATTTTTGAGTTGTTTTTGGCTGTATTTAGTCATTTTGGACCATTTCTGAGCCTCAGAACTTCATCAGTACAGCAGATAGACACATGACATGTAGGAGGAGGAACACATCTGGGTTCTGCTAGAACCTGACACCAGATCAGTTCTACATCCATCCAGGTGTCTCAGTCTGAACACTGGACCTGGTTCCTCTGTAGCCAGCTGGTACCATCAGTCTTCCACTCGTACATTTCTCTGTTCTGGCTGCAGCGTGAAGTCCTGACATGAAGGCTGTGTTTCTGATGTACGCTTCGTCTGTCTCCACGTTTACACGAGTCTCTCCTGCAACAGATCACGGTGATGGAGGAGACATGGACGGTGTTCAGACGCTACAGTCGCTTCCGGGAAATGCACAGGAGCCTCAAGTCCAAGTATCCGGAGGTGAGAAGACCACGTCAGGTTCACGTTTGGATCTGGTGGGCTGTTTGTGGAACCGTCTGACGTGTCGTGTTGTTGCTTCCAGCTGGCAGCTCTCGAGTTTCCGCCAAAGAAGCTGTTTGGAAACAGGGACGAGCGGATGGTGGCCGAGCGCCGGAGTCACCTGGAGGCAGGACACCTGAGCAGCTACACACCGACGAGCCACAACATCACAAACACCTGCTGCTGCACAGCCAGGCCCACGTTACCATAGTGACGGCTGTATTATCTGTTGCTGTCTGCTCAGTACCTGATGTTCATCATGGTCATAGACAGGAGCTCATTTAACACGTTTCAAACTGAGCTTTGACCCTTAAAGCTCAGGTCTCAGGTCCCAGAGGTCCAGTCAGAGGCTCCGTCCTCCAGGGTTCAGTCTGAGCCCGTCACAGAAAGCACTGTCTCAGAAACTATTGAGTAAATCAGTCTAATTAGTAACTGTGTGTTTCTGAGCTGGTGGAGCAGAAGCTGTGACGGTGGGAGATGGACCGATCCAGAACACGGCTGGATGTTCCTGGAGGTCCGATCAGACCTGCAGCTCGGTGTTCTGCTGTTGTGGCTCCTCGTGTTCGTACTCAAACAAAGACACACGTAGAAGCAGCAGTGTTGGGCCGTCATGTTCTGTTTCTGTTCTCTGCAGCGTTACCTGAGGAACCTGTTCCGGGTCATGCTGTTGTCCTCCAGCTCTCCTCTCAGAACCCACCAAGACGTCCGTCTGTCCAAACGGGACGTCTGCGAGTTCTCGCCGTTCTTCAAGAAGGGCGTCTTCGAGCACGGCAGCCACGGCACCGGCTGAGCGGGGCGCTGAGGCCCGACCAGAACCGACCCATCTGTGCCTTTTCCTTCCAAGAGAGACTTCCGGGTCGGTGTGAGCTCACCCGCCGTCCCACCTGGAGCTGGGCTGTACGTCCGCTGTGATGTCTGGCCGAGCTGAGGATCCACTGAATGAACAGTTTTAATAATCCGAGTCACTGATCAGACGACGAAGTCGCTGTTCCGTCTGAAATGAAAGATTTCTTTCTTTATTCTGTGAACTGGACGCTTTCCTTCACCGACACTGAATCAAAGAACCTTTAATGAACCTGAAACGGTTTCACACTGATCATGTGGCCCATTCTGTAAAAAACCCACCAGAACCTCCTCAGGTGTTCTGACAGAGTGGATCCTCCTACAGATGGTCCTGGTAGGTTCTGGAGGTCAAACGGTCCTGGTTCTGACCAACCACCATCACACAGTTTGGTTCAAATGACATGAGAGCTGTCCAGGATTGCAGACAGAACTCTGAACGGACTCAGATTCATGAACCCGACTCCAGATTGGGCAGAAATGAGTTCAGCATCCAAAGTGACTCCAAAACGAGTTTCTCTGTAAAAACAGGACGTTTCATTTAGAACCAGGTGTTCTGACCCAACACTGTGACTGAGGAATGAATAACAAGAGTCCAGAAATACTGAATAAGTTTAGAACTACTGAAATGTGTCCAGTGGTGACTCCCAGTTGGACAGAAATGACAGTCCTGATGTGAAAACATGCAGAACCAGAACCTTGTCTGGTCCAGCTTCACCACATCAGGTTCTGCTGACGTCAGAGCCTCAGCAGTCGGTGAAATGTGACCAGAGACTGGGTTCTGTTGCCACCACAGTTGTATTTCTGCAGATGCTGAACCGTTGAAGTGGCTTCATGCGGCTGCAGACGCATGAAATTCTCTGAATTCAGCCAGAACATTTGCCAGAACTCAGTTTTGTGTCTCAAACTCCAGATTGTGAGCAGACTGGAGGATCGCTGCTGTCTGATCTGAGGCTTCAGCTGTTTCCAGGATGAAACGTCGGCCTCCAGCTTCTGATGAAGAACCAGGACTGTGTTTGGACGTCTGAGTCCAGCTGCTGCCTGTGTTGGTACCGAGGCCGTAAACGCTCACGTCAGCAGAGAAGAAGAAGAAGAAGCAGAACTGCTGCCTCCCTGCTCTGTACATACTCAGCTACAGCTTAGCTTAGCGTAGCTTAGCTTAGCTTCGCTATTAGCACGGCTCTGTGTAAAAGGAATAAATGTGGTTTTACACTCGCATTACAAGACCTTTTATTTATATATATGTAAACACACACATTTCCTGAATATTTATGTCCAGACGTTTTTCCACAGATTTTACTTCAATATTCAGGTTTATTGTTTCGCTTTTTTCCAAACTAAATCATTTTTCAGGCCCTCTTGCATTTCTTTTCTTTTTTTCTTGGTGGAATTTGTTATTTGGGGGTAAATTATTTGTTTACTATTATTTTTCTGATATTTTATTTACATCTTCTGAACTACTTTCCAGATATTTGTCGCCGTCTACGTGACATTTTTCAGACCGATTATTCTGATCAAACTTTCAGACATTTTTTCCACATTTTTGAGGAAGTATTTTATTACATTTATCATTTTTAGTCTTTTTTTCAGGTAAATTTTCTGATCTCACCAAAATGTTTCGTCACGTATGGAGCACTTGTGATTTGCAGAACTTTTATTGTGTAATATTCAGACTTTTGGGGCCATTTCATACATTTTGGGGGGAAATGTTGTTATTCTTATTAAACAGGGGACTGCTTGTTATGCAGGAACGCAGCAGCTTCCTAAATGATTCCTTTAAACACTTTGATGTGTTTTTGTCTGTTTTCAGGTGAAACAGAATAAACGATGACTCAGTGAAAAACTCAAACAGCATTTATTCATATTTATATCAACATTTATCAACTGTGGGCAGCAGGAGACCAAACTACACAGATGAAGACGTGCAGCTCGTCTCCAGGTGTGAGCAGGTGTAACCAGGTGTGAGCAGGTGTAACCAGGAGCCCGGACAGTCGCCTCCCAGCTCCAGCTCAGGGTTTCGGTGTCGTTCTGTTCTGGATCTGCTCGGCCGGCCTGAAGTGGAAGTCGTGCAGAGGGACGCCCAGAGCCTTCAGCCTGTCCGTACAGGTGAGCAGCAGCTCCTCGTACTCCTGCAGGTGAGACGTCAGCAGGTGAGCTGCACCGACGCAACACCGAGCCGATCGCTGACCGACAACTCACCTGACAGTCCTGACCCAAGTCCTGCTGCAGCGACTGGACCGACGCCTGCTGACGCTGCAGGACTTCCTGCAAACAACACAACAGTCACACACTCTGTCTGGTCAGTGTGTGGTGGTTCTGTGTCTGTGCTGAGAAGCGGCCCGGTGTGGTCCGGTACCTCCAGCCTGCTGGCGGCGCTGGTTCTGGCCTGTGGCTCGGTGCTGCAGACGGACAGAGCGGCGCAGAGCTGAGCCTCCTTCTTCTGCAGAGTCTGGGTCAGCGCCGCCAGCTTCCTCTGCAGCAGCATCTCCTTCAGCCCGCTGCTCTGCTGCAGGTCCAGAACCGCCTGCGTCTGCCGGCTCAGCAGCTCGTCCCGCTCCCGCTCCACCTGCCCGACACCAGAACACACCAGAAGGCAGCGTCAGAACACGGCATGGGCCCGTGGACCGGCGCTGACGGGTGGCGGTGGGAGAGGCGGCTGACCTTGTGGCAGGCCTGGCGCAGCAGCTCGTGCTCCACCGTCAGGTCTCGCAGCTCCTTCTCCATCAGCTTCACCTGAGCCCGGCTCACCTGTCGCACAGAACCAGCAGCACAGTTTGAAGGTTCAGAGGTTAAACCGAGTGTCTCGGTTCTGTCCCGAGTTCGGCTGAACATCTGTTAAAACTGATATCAGGCACCGGGAGAAGAACAACATGAAGAACCATGTGGACAGAGGAACGGGTCTCCTGGAACAGTTCTGTTCAGTTCAGACGTGTTTTCCTTGGTGTTGACATCTTGGTGCCACCTGAGGCCGTGTGATGGATATGTGGAGCCATGTTCTTATTTTTTATGCCTAAATAAAACGACACTGGGACTGGTTCTGTTCAGTCCAGACCTGATTCTGCATGTGGCTGTGTCCAGTGTTGTGCAGCAGAACCTGATGCTCTGGGTGCAGAACCTACCGCCCTCCTGGCCTCGGCCTCGTCGTGTTCCTGCACCCGTTTCTGCAGTTCCTGCTTCTTGTGTTCCGCCTCCTGCAGAACCTCCGTCAGACGCCGGTTCTCCTGCTGAGCTGCTGAAAGTTCTTTGTCTGCTCGCGCCTGCCGCTTCTGCACCTCAGCCAGTTCCTCCTACAGAACGCCAGCACAGCAAACAGAACCCATCCTGAACCCGGAGAACATGAGCAGCTTTACTCTCTGAGTTCTGCAGCTACGTTCTGTCGCTGGGACCGGTTCCTTCTAACGGCTCACCTTCAGCAGGTTCTGGTCCGCCAGCAGTTTATTTTGAACAGAAGTGTAGTACTCCTCGGCTCCCCGCACAGCCCGGTCCTGGTTCTCGATCAGAACCGCAATGCGACTCTTCATCTGGTCGTCCAGCTCGGCCACCTCGGCCCGCCGCCGCTTCTCCTCCACCGTGATCAGCGACTGCATCTGCTGGTGGAACTTTGCCTCCATTTCTGAGGACAGAAGGTTCAGGAACAGATGTGTGAGGAACGTTTGAGGAACGTTTGTGAGGAACTTTCAGGAACAGCTGGTAAATGGTAGATGTTCTCCAGCTCACAGCTGTGCCTGCTTTCTTGCAGGTTCTCTGGTTCTCACCTCGGATCCTGCGGTCGTACTCGTTGTTCAGCTCCATCAGCTCCACCTGGTGTTTCTGTGGAGAACGCAGAGTGTGAGTCTGCGGTGTTCAGGTGGACAAATCAAACGTCACAGTGGTTTTCGGAGAACATCTCACCAGTTTCAGCTCCTTGATGGAGTTCTCGCTGTGGAGCTTTTTCTCCCTGAGTTCTGCCTGCAGGCCGTGAACATCTCTGCGCAGCCCGAGCTCCGCCTCCCGGTGCCGGTTCTGGACCAGTGAGGACGAGGCCACCCCTTCCAGCTTCTGCTCAGTGGTCGTGTTGTGGTGCTCAGACAGAACGTGCTTCAGCTTCTGCTTGTAGACCTGCAAACCAACAAACAGCCATAAACCAGCCGCTCAGGTCAGGGTGGGGTTAGGTTAAATTTAGGTTAGGGTTAGGGTTAAAGTTAGGTTGGGTTTAGGGTAAAGTTAGGTTAGGATTAGGTTGGGTTTAGGTTAAATTTAGGCTTGGTTTAGATTAAGGTTAGTTTTAGGTTACAGGAAGGTTAGCGCTGGGTTAGAATGTTTAAGGAACTGTGTGTGTGCAGCTCACTGTGATCTCCACTCGGTGGCGCTCCTCGGCCTCCTCCTTCTCCCTGTGTCGGTTCCTGAGCTCGGCCTTCGTCTCCTCCAGGTTCCTCTTGGAGATGTCCCACAGCGCCTGGGTTTTGTCCCGCTCCAGCTGGAAGAAGCTCCTCTCCTCCCGCTCTCGGTCCAGCTCCTCCCGGAGACGAATGATGTGTTCCTCCAGCTGCAGGACAGACACACTGCTGTGGTGCAACGTACAGCAGGGTTCCACAGAAGACACCTGCTGCTAAGCTAACACGCTAACCTCAATCCACAGCAGTACAGAAATACACCTGGTGCTAAGCTAACACGCTAACCTCACTCCACAGCGGTACAGGAATACACCTGGTGCTAAGCTAACACGCTAACCTCACTCCACATCATCCCAGAATGTAAAATATTAAACAAGTCAATCAGATAATCTGTGATTCAGGTTGAAAAGTGAAGAAAAAGTGAAAAGTTCCATCTTTGAGCACATTAACAAAACACTGATGATGCAGACGAATCGGTAGATAATCTGATCTCAGTAGAACCGAGTCGGTTTCTAAATAGAACTAATAACATAATGTTGTAACTGTAGGATCATATTGTTTAGTTTCAGACCCAGTGTGTGACATAAACCTGGTCTGAAGGAGGACCGTGATGTACTGTTGTCTCATTTCTTTGTGAAATCCCACCTCATCATAACATAACATAATCAGATGTACTAACAAGACTTTAGTGGGGAATTTCTCATCCTGACTATCATGGAAACTATTTGATAAGATGACACAGAGTCTCTGGTCTTAGAGATTGTTCTCAATAGAACACAAACTGAAGTCACGGCTGGACTGATGAACAGTAGTTTACCTTCAAGCTTCCATTCAGTCACTTTATCAGTGTCATAAGCTTAATAAGGAACAGTTCACTCTGGAGAACCACAGTCTGAAAACATATATGTGTGTTTTCTTAGTTCACAAATACCGTTTTTAATTATCCAGTTTATGATCTAAAAGTTTGGGCCAATCAGAGATGGTCCTGCAGAACTGGTTCTAAACAGTCTGAGGGACAGTGTAGTGCAGGTTTCAGGTCTGCATGAGGACAAGCAGCAGCATCTCTAAAGGTTCTGGACGGTAAAGCGGTTCCAGACAGCACCAGGCAGCACTGAGCTAAACGAACACTGTCTGACTTTATGAAAATGTGGAACAAACTGAGAATCTGAGCTGAAAGTTCAGTTTCCCTCAAGTGTCCAATCAGAAGCTGACTTCTGCCGTTAGCCGTTAGCATCCGACCTGATCTTTGG